GGACCATAGTGCTATAGTGCACAAAATGATGGATAGGGTGCAGTTATAGATGATAAATCAAGAGGAAACTTGGGATGCAGGATGTAGAGAACAGAGAAAGCCTGAATATGTGCTGTTGACATGAGCATGGCCATGTCAAGGACCCAGTGGCCTCAGATTCAGAGGAATGGCAGAAACTTCCTTGGCAGACCAAGTGCTTGTGTTAGTAATGTGTGCTGAACCTATCAACCATAGCTTTCTCTCCACAGATATTTACAGTCTGAGACTGTTGCCATAGAGACTGCTCCCATGGATAGTAGCTAAATCTGTCCCCTTGATCCAGCTCTACTCCATAAACTCTACCTCATTATTTATCTGTATGTAATAACCCCACATACTTGTTCAGCAGTATATAATAAACACAATGAGATTACAGGGTGCTGTTTTCTCCAGCTGAAGCCCAGGCTGCCCTATCCCATGTGTTTTCTGTCCATGTCCCCATATGTCTGTCTTTTATTCTATTTCTCACCATGCTAGTCAGGTTCATCCCTGAAGCCATGGTGGACATGGCATGGGAACTTTAAAGGAAGAAACGCCCCCCTCTTTATGTTGGGAGGGAGTATTAGCAATGAGACTCATGGTCTATGTTCCATTTTATGAGGATTCCTTTTGTATACAAATGTGTTTTTTATGCATCCTATTGCCAACTCAGTGTTAGAAAACAAGTAAGTGGTCTCTTCATAAAAAGACTTCAGTCAAGTCAGTAGTTACTCTATAACTTGTGGAGCTCCTTGTCCCCCTGCTTAGTAGGAAGATGGTATTCTTCTAAGTAAACATTGAGCCAGATGCAGCTTCCTCCTGATTTCAGATGAAACCATGATTGTTGAAACACTTATCTTCCCTTTTGTCCATGAGTCCCCCACACCCCCGGCTTTATAGTTATAGTTGATGCTGATGTACATATGTTATGTTTTCAATTAGCCATGCTTTTAAGGAAATGGTGAAAATAACAGATGCACTTTCAAGTGAAGTTTTATTGCTTTTAAAGATATAAATAGCAAATTATGTTCTTTGTCAACATTGAACAATATGCTGTACAAAGGGGCCACTGACTTTTGTGAATTTTATTGTTAAAGATGAGAAACTATTTTTTAAAATTTTTAACAGCTTAAAAAAAAAAACCCATACGTGTACATAGTAACAGGCTATTGTGTAAAGTTGGACATAAGATTTCTGAAAAAGCAAAGACTTCTAAATCAGCAAAGGATGGGCTAGGGATAATGGCAAGTTACCATTTGTCATAGGTTGGATATCATGCTAAACACTTTAACTAAATTGTCAAGTCTAATATTCAAGCTCCTGGGGGTGGGTTAAGTATTATCACATCAAGAGAAGTTACACTGGCCGTGTGATGTAGGTCAGAAACAGTAGAGCCTAGATCTGAACTCCAGTCTGTCTAATTCCAAAGCTTCTGCCCTAAACCTCTGTGCAAACTGCTCCCACACAAATTTATTCCAATATCAGAAGCCCCAATTGCTCCAGTTGAACAGTTTATGAATAGCCCTCTCAAGTATCAGTCGGAACTCATTTTCAGAAACCAGACAGTGTTAAGACTCTGTTTATAACTCTGTAGTAGTATTTTATAAGTTATTTTAAGAGCAGAGTTTTCACGTCTGCTCATTGCCTTGGAGAAAAACACATCTGTAGGCTTCTGTCCAAGTTGTGATTATTTGTAATTGATGCTTTTGGAAGTGTTTCTGCTTCATAGTTTTGCTAAACATAGATTTAGAAATCCACACAATTCCATCACATGATGCGATTAGCAACCCCTGAGTTTCCAGGCAGTGGATCCCTTCAATGCCTTGGCTTTAAGACTCATGATAAAAAGGCAGAGCCACCTGAAAGAGAGAAAAGGTTGTCTTCTCCATCTACTTCAGTGGAAATGTGTATTTTCCTTTGTTCCTTTCCTTATCCTCCTCCCCTCCCATCCTGTCATTCTTATGCTGGGAACACAACTCAGATCCTATCAGTTGCTAGGCGAGTGCTCTGCCACTAAGCTGCAACCCCACTCAGGGCAGCTATTTTTAAAGCCATCTGTAGCTTGCTAGAGATTTGCAGACTGTTACCAGTTCCGTGCAGTAAAAGCATCACCTCAGCGCATGTTTCCGTTACAAAACCAACGTTGAAAAAGAGTGATGGAAATATTTTAGCTGATGCCTTCTCATTAATTTATACAGTTCTGGAGAAGCCATTCCGCTCCCTTTCCTCTTAATGTACCCAGTGTATGTGGTGACAGGCTTTACTTTACATGATAGATACTACATTCAGTGGGGGGGGGGGAATATATATATATATATATATATATATATATATATATATATATATATCATATTGTTAGAATTCTAGTTATTCTTGCCAAGCCATCATCTGCAAGAATCTCACAAAAATGAAACTCACTTTTTATTTTCATTTTCCTTATTCCAAACCTAGCCAACTAAAAATAACCTTGAAGTAGTTCAGAGGAAGCAACCATCATGCCCCTACCCAATAAGCATAACATAACAGAGAGGTGTAGAGTATGTTCAGATGTATGGACAATGATATTTGTGAATGAACAGACTGTTGTTGTTGGGCTGGTCCTAGTGTCACTAACTTTCATTTCAGCTCTGCAGAGGCCAGCATGATCTCCATAATGAATTCCAGGGCAACCTGGACTCTTTCTCAAAACAATTAAATAAGTTTTAGAAAGAAAAAAAGAAAATGTCAGTTTGAAACTCATCACTTTGTACAAAGAATATATGCCAATAAAAGTTTTTAATAAACAAAATCAAGGCTTATATATCTAAATCTCTCAGAAGTCACAGAAATAGAAAAAACCAAAACTAGAGCATACATTATTTTGCTCCTTGGTAGATGAGGCACATAATATTATTAGAGCAATGTCAGTGTCTATTTGGCTTCGCTTCAACTAAGTATCTTTCTATGATCTATTCATGTAATATTTTGAAATATTTTACTTATTACTGTATGTATAGGAAAATTTTGTGTGCATGCAATATGTGCAGTTCCTGCTGCAGCCAAAAAAGGACAACAGCTCTCCTGAGCTGGAGTTGCAAGTGGTTGACAATTGGCCTGTGGGTGCTGGAAACCTAACCTGGGTTCTCTGTAAGATCAGCAAATATCCCTAACCACAGAGTTGTCTCTCAAGACCCTTTTTACACAAAAATTTGTGGTTAGCTTAAAAAATAAAAAGACTAAGCTTAGTGAGAATGTTCTGCTTTAAAACTGTCTGATATGAAGATCACTATTTAATGTTTGTTATTAGAACCAATGTCTCTGAAGAATCCTATGTTATTAGCTTCCATGTCATCCTTCTAGAATAACTACAATGGCTTCTGGCTAGTGAACATTGGCTTAGTACCAGGCACCCCACTCATATTGATTATCCAACTTAAGTCACATGAAAATTCGGTGAGGTAGCTACTATCTTGTCTGTAGGATGGGGGGGGGGGGCTCAATGGTTTAGTAACTTTTCCAAGGTCCAGGCTGTCAACAGCCACAATTTGAATTCAGCTATATTAAACTCTGAAATTTATACTATATATTATGAAGTGAGAAGTTCATAATTTTTCATTTGTAGCCTTCACATGAACAGTTGTTATGTTTAGGCATCTTCATTGAAGACAGCCCACGTGATTCTTTCCAGTCTAGATGGAAAGTAGCAAAGCAAAGGAATATGAGGTATGGGCATGGCAAAAACTGTGTGGGCTTCTAGGAAGTCTGACCAGCACTGCAGAGTGGCCGAATATGCCAAGTGTCCTCCATATGACTCCTCTGAGACCTTGTCTCTGCTAATCCAGCCCCTCAATCTTAACCTGACCTTGTCATTCTTCTCCCTCCTCACCCCTCAATTAGGCTGCCATTGGTTCAGGATTTATATATGCCACTGGCCCATTAAGAGATAGTGATAGAGATATGGTAGAAAAGCTGGGTTATGTGGATGCCTTGCATTGTAGCCAGAGGTAGAGTACTTGGCTAGCATTCACAAAATCCTGGGTTCAATCCCCAGCGTCACAAGAAATCTTTAAAAAGAGAGATTATTCTGTTTATAATAGGATGGCAAACCCAAAAGCTAACCCTCTCGACAGACCAAGACAGTTCTGTTCTATTAGGTACACATTCCAAGCACTGAGTTGTGCATGAGGAGATGTTTCCTTCAAGTGACCACGATGCCCAGTGGTTCCTATTGGTGATGAGAACTTCACCCAGGACTTTTGAAAATGAGTTTGCTTTTGGAATTTTTTATCTAACCAAGAGTCTGCACTTTATTCTCTCTTAAGATTATTAAACAATAGAATGCACTTCACTAATGGAAATTTTTAAGGGAAAGAACGTTTCTTGGCTTACCACATATAAAAGCCTTGTATAGCATTGGGTCATGTGCAGCAAGTCCTTTCCAGGAATTTTAAATGCTGTGAACTTTAGTTTTTAATAAAGTCATGTTAAACTTATGCCTTAAATGCATAGTGACATGGTACTTCTCTGGTTTCATCAACTAACTTAGAAAGAAGCCTATGTTAGTCTTTTAGAAATGAATCTTATTTCTGTTTCACACATTGGAAATAAACCTGACTCTGGGGATGACGGGAAGAACCCAGTGGCCTCCAAACTTTAAATGATTGCTTTTGAGTCAGTAAGCTAAGTGGTAGCTTAGATTTGGGACCTAGTTTTCAAAAGATTGATAAACTTCATAAAATGTGGGGTGTGCACTTTTGAGCCTGCTCAGCATTTGGGGAGACTCAGTCATCCATGTTAGCTCTGAAGAAAGCCCACCTGCTTCTGTTTTCTGGGTGTTGAATATCGCTAGGCCCTGCCTGAAGATAAGCTGGTGAAAGTTAGAGCTGGGGTTTTCCTACCTGGCTTTATCACTCTCCTCCTAAACCACAGTCTGCCTTTTGATAGCTCTAATAATTAATTTGGTCTTCTCTCTTTCTTCTCCCCACCCCCCTGTCTGTTCACAGGTTATCTTGACGAATCAAATTACGACCCATCTGAGTGGAGCCCTCCCTTCTCAAGCAGACCTGGTGTCTCCGGCTGATGATTTGTCCCTGTCTGAAGGTAAAGATCTGTCCTGGAGAGACTGAAACTTGACACTGATATACAGCCTCCTGCCTCCTGCTGAGAGCTTGGAGACAAGGCTACTGGACACTGGTCAGTGCAGCCTGCTGGAGCCTGGTGATTTAGGCTTGGACTTCTTACCTGGCACCTGATCTATTCTTGTCTGTCTCTGAGTGAGTTCCCTTTGAGCCATCTTCACACACATCCATCATCTCCCCGGGAGGGAGTCTTGTCAGCCCTCTGTGGTGCCAGTTGCTGCTTCTAAGACTGATGCTCCAGCATTGCCTTTACTAGTGGTCCCACTGCGATCTCCCCATCTTTTTGTATTGAGCACCTCTGGACTGCCTAAAAATGTGCCATGATTCCATGTACAAGAGGTGTGCCATTCCTGGTCAGCTTTGCAGAAGGAGCAAGACAAAGTCTCCGCAGTTGTAAATCTGCCCATTTTCTCTACCGCCTCCTACCAGCAAAGGTCAGACTGGCTGGGATTTTGAGGGCAGTGAACCTTGAGTAGTTGGGGAAACTACATCAGCAGCCAGAAGGTGGTTTCTAATTTTGTCAAAAGTCCTCCCTTGGCATTTATGAGCTTTTCTAGTAGCAGCTGATTTTGGGGCACAGTGCTAGGGTAGACGCACACAGCTCTTCCAGGCTTACCTTCCCTCTCTGCTTTCTGAGAACTGGTCAGGATGGAAGACAGGGGACTTGCAGACCTAGAAAAGCTCCTGACTGCCTGGCCAGGTAGTCTTCGAGGATCGACACTGCTTTTGTCTCAGGTTGGAAGCCCCACATGCCTGCGTTTTTGGTGTTCTTTTTCATAGTGAGAACTACTGACATAGTAATGAAAACTGTTCTCTGTCCCTTCTGTCCACATTCAGTGATCTGTCACCCTCCTGCCACCTGAGCTGAGAACCTCAAATAGCTGGAATTCACCTCCCTTTTGACTCCTCTCATCAAATTGGCTTTAGATTTCTTTCCAAATATATCTTTCATGTGCCCCGTCGTTTCCTCTGTGATTTGTGTTACAATCAAGTGATTTATTAAAACTCATAATTGGCTCATTTTAATAAACCCTATAAAGCACTCTGTTTCCATTCTGCTGTCTGGCCTTCCTCCAGGGTGTCTCCCTCCTACTCAAAGTGCTGAAGATAGCCCTTTCTGAGGATGTGCTAAAATAAGTGTACCAATTAAAAATATTCAGGGACTTGGGGTTTATTGTAACAACCATGTACTACAAGGTGGGGTCAGTAAAAGCAAAAACTTCAGTGTTTTTCTTTCGAGTGGACTAGTTTCTAGATCCCCACTAAATAAGGTTAATCCTTCTTAACCTTTCCGGGTCAGCCCTCCCCTTGCTGGTCAATCCACTAAGTCCTTGAACGAAGCATCTATGTCAAGCATGCAATCTTCTGTTGCCCTTCCCTCTGTTTCTCTTTTGATCCCTTAGCCCTCTTCCCAAGGCCACTCCTCTGGACTCAAAGGCTGCTTCTTGCATAGAATCCCCTGACCTGCATCATTGGTCTTACTCTCTCCCTCCTCTTTGTCTTCTCTGCCTGCTTGGGTATGTAAAGAAACGTTCTAAGAAGGTCCACTGTTCATAACAGTTTTAAAACATCAGTAGATGTTTCTTATTGTGTTAGATAGTGAACTTACTGCCTCATGCATGTTATAATAGCAAGTGCTTTACTACTGAATACATAACCAGCCCTATGCTGTGTTCTTTTTGTATGCATGTTTTATCACAGTGACCAACCAGAAGTCTTAGGCATACTGTAAGCAGTGAGAGAGATATTAAGTGAGTGTCACAGAAAGTAGTGACCAGCACTCTGCCTAGATTGAATGTCACTAAAAATTCTTTTACATCACACATGCGCGCGCGCACACACACACACACACACACACACACACAGCTGCTTGCCTTGTTCAGCTCTGAGGGAACAAGAAGAGAATATCTTTCTTCTTTATTTGAAAATAAGTGAATTTCTTTCTCTTGGCGCCCTGATTTACATTAAGCAAAGAAGTAGAACAAAATGAAGAGGCAATAAATGGCTTTGAATTCTAGTGTGATGGCAACAGGAAAATGAGCTGTTCATAGAAACCGGGGTTCCTAGCTCATCTGTGGGTAACTAACTATCCCTAATTATGAAACCCTAGCAGCAATTGAAACAGTTGGTTTTTTGTCTTGTTTTGTTTTTTAAGGCATTTTCTTGTATTGTGGGGACATGTAAAGAGGACATAGAAATATTTTTCCCAAAGTTTATAATGGAGTTACTTACCAGTGCACTAAAATAAACATATTTTGGCTGGGGAGAGCACTTGCCTAATAGCCATGACACAGTGATATTTTATCCCCAGAACTTCAGATAAAACAACAACAACAACAAAACACAAAAATAAACAAAACAAAAAACAAAAACCACACCAAGGGGGAGGGAGCATTTCTTAGAACATTCGCTCTTGCTCAAATGTATTGCAGTGGTCCCTAAGTTTCTGCGAGAGAGATCTGAAATATATGACACAAAATAGAATAAACTACTTGTGGTTTTAGTGCTTTATTTGGTCACCTTTGCCTATGTGATAGCTATGACCCTGGGCAGATCTTTTGGACCTCAGTTGTTTTTTTTTCCTGTCTGATGTTACTTTGAAGGAGTCAAAGATTGCTCAAGTCTTTCCCAGTGCTGACATGTTGAGGTGGGTCTGCAGCTAAGAAGCACCCAGCCAGGGGAGGCTCCTCTGGTTTCCAGAGTCGTGTAATGGGTTTCAGCTGCAGAGCAGAGCCCCCAACCCCCAGCATTAAACTGTTCTCTCTTGAAAACAGTTGTGGGGTGAGAGCAGGCAGCCAAGAGCAGCCAGCAATAAAATGATCTGGGTTGACCCAGATCACCCAGCAGGAGCTGATCCGGGAAATGAAGTCCCTTCTGCTCTGATGCAGAAAAGGGAATGCAAGTGACCTGGTCCAACTGAGCCATCTCTTCTGCCCAAGCTGATCCTGTGCTATTAATATCTGCCAGCTGCAGGCCCAGAGCATCCCCTGCTGAGATCAAAGACTCCCCTATCTTAGCTGGAACAAGGTCATCTGCACAGGGCTATAAAAGTAAGTCCTGGCTGGCTACTATGGGGGAGGAGAAGTCAGGAGATGGGAGGCGCCCTCCAGCTCCTTTCATCTCAGCTGACCAGCTGTTGCCCTCCCAGTGTTTGTAGAGTTGAGAGTTCTTTGTTTTTGTGTTGCTGTCTCTCCCTTAGTCAGTTTGTGCCCGGGTTGTTGTCTGCATTAAACACTCCCAGTGCTGGGTCCATGATCTGAGTCCCTGCATTGAGGTTTTCTCCTAGGGTTGAGTTAGTTACCCTGGATGGGAGGGCCAAACAAGGGAGGAGTAGACCCCATAGGCCAAGGCCTTTCCCAACCTACCTACTCTTGCCTTATAGCTTGTGCCTTGAGAAGGAATTCTTAAGAGGACACCTGCAATTACTTGGTATTTTGCAGTCTGCCTTTCACAAGCTCTCTCATTAACTCAAGAATATAGAACTTTCAGGGTTCATGCAAACTTACCGAAATTGTGAAGTCATCCCATCCCAGTGTGCTTCTTAGTCCCTCGGGGTTACACACACTTCCAATTGTGTCTGTGTTTGTAGGGAAGAGATCCAAAGAGAACCGAGAGACAGACAAGCCCAGAAACATATGCAAAGTGAGAAAGACGAAATATAGGGGGAGGAGGCATGGAAGGTATGCCGCAGCAATGAGGTAATTTGCCCCACTCTGTATATTAGAATTACAATCTCACCAGTGGGTTGATCTTTAGACCCCCCTTATGGTCTTACAGTAATATCAGGGCTGGAAAAGACTTCAACAATGTTGTATTTGCCCAACCTGATGTTTCACAAAAGAGATTGGGTAAAAATAATTTTTATTGTTTTACATTTTCCATAATTCTAAGCCTGGGTAGGTACTGTCATTCAAAGTATCTTTCAGTTTCTTGTTATATTGGCAGAAACCCTTCCACCTAAGTTGTCAGAGTTCAGTTATTTCAACTTTCCCATTTCTTAGCTCTTGCTTCTTCCTTGTATCCACTAAAAAGACCACAGGTTGGGCCCCTTCAATGCCTGGCCTCAGTCACAGGGACTCTTTCCCCATTTGATCTTTAGAGAAAGGATCTAATGATTCACTGCCCATAAATGCATATCCTACACTGATCTGGGATTTGAGCAGAACTATCCTGGGGCGTAGTTTATAGGTGACATTGATGTGCAGTAGCAAGACTGCAGTTCTGTTCAACCGATGCCTTTAGCTTGCTTTCTTCTGATAGGTTAAGAGGGTAGCAGTAACTTTTCAATACAGTGGCATGGCCTACTCAAGGAATCTCAGGTGGCTTCATGGGATGGAAGGCATTACTAGGCTTCTATCTTGCATTCTGGCATCTGGCATGTTGGTATCTTCTTATCTCTGTTAGTAGTCTTTGGTAGATTATAGCACATGGAAACTAACACTTGAAAGTGCATGGAAGGGTCAAGGATAGAACAAAAGAAAAGTAAAACGCATGTCTTACTAGAACAAAAAGTGTTTTTTTAGTTTCAATGCTGGAACGTCTTTCTATTCCTGTTGCAGTCAAGGGAATTGATGGCTGATTTCATTTGCAAGAAAAAGTATTTTTGGGATTCAAATTCCCTAACAAGCCACCCTTGCAAAAAGCTGGAGTCCATTTGAAAGATTATATGCAAGTGTGTGTGGCTTGTGTGTCTTTTAAAATAAATTTAGCAAGCAAAAGCAGCTCAGAATGGTTGGGGCGAAGCAGGGACTCGTGGTTGTGAGAGAAGCAGACTTCAAAGCATGGTATGAATTTTCTAGTTTTATTTCCACTCTTGCTTTCCAGCTGGATCTGCTCTGGATTTACTGCAGGATGTTTGAAAATGTGGCTCCCTGCTAATCTCAGACAGTTGCTATGATCAATGGTTTCTTTCATTTCCGATAAAAAACACTGGTGTTTCTGCTTAAATTGTGTGTACTTTCA